CTTTCTAGTATGATTTCTTTTGTGGTGCAGTGATTAAGAACTCCACTGCTAACCAAAGCTTGACAGTTCGAATCCACCAGCTGCTCCTTGGAAACCCTATGGGAGAGTTCTCCTCTCTCCTATAGGGTTGCTGTGAGTCGGAATCGACTCCATGAGTTTTTTTGGAGGGGTTACTCTTAGGCAGCTCCCGAGTTCTCCCTGAGCCTCAGCCTCACAAAGGCTACTTAATCTTTGCCCTTTGCATTCCTACCAGCTTGTGACAGAATATGCAAGATGGGCTTTCCTGGAGTTTCTCTCTGAGGTGAGCCCGGTGAACCTAAGCCAGGGCAAGAAGCCAGCCCAGAACTGCCAAAGATACTTAAAGGTCAAAGGATGGACCGATCGCTTGCCCTGACTCACACTATACCAGTCCCTCCACCAGTCACTGTCCAGTTGTCTCTGACTCATGGTGACCCCATGTATGTCAGAGGAGAACTGTGCGCCACAGGGTTTTCAATGGCTGAGTTTCTCGGAAGTAGATCACCAGAACTTTCTTCCAAGGCGCTTCTGGGTGGACTCAAATCGGCAACCTTTCGGCTAGCAGCTGAGTGCATTAACCGTTCGCACCACCCAAGAACACCCTAACTCACACTATCGCCTGGAAAGTTCCTCTCAGCCTGGCTCCCCGGCCAGCCCAGCACCAGCTGCTCTTCCAGGAAAAGGGGAGGCTTTGAGAAGAACAAGGCTGTTTAAAAACACTGGGGCTGATGGTGTGATAATCACTCAAAATCCAACAGAGCAGCTGCAAAATATGATAAAAATCACTTGAAAATTTCATTGATTTTGCAGCAAAACTACAAGTACTTCACTTTGTAATAATTGTTCCCTCACATTCTGGAATCTTGCACTTGAGCTAGGAGGGTGCTCAGGTCAGGGCGGCATTCAGCAAACAGGCCGTGCAAGACAATGGCGCCTGGCTGAAGAGACACTTTAATCATGAGCAAATTTACAGACCAAAGCAAAACAAAGTTGGGCTTTGTCTAAGATTATTAGAAGATGTTAATTCTGCGCTTAAATTATTTCTCTGACTCCTCTCCCCGAGCTCATAACTAGGAAAAAAAAAAAGGAACATCAACCCAATCTCACCCCCAATTCTTATCTTCCTAATTAAATTTTGTGACTTGGCATCCATGGTCGGGTGGATTCCTTTTTTCCCTTTCTTCTTTTCTCTCTGAGGACAATGTGCTTGTTATACAAATTCTTATTGCTTCTTGGTAGGCGCTTCTAACACCTAGATAAAAGGCTGTTAGCCCTCTCTCCCGCGTTTTCTCAGGGCTGGTGGAAATAATGAAGAATCTTGGTGCAGACTTCGTAGCTCTCAGATCCCCACCCAGTAGGTCTCAGCAGTGCTCCTCACAGGTGGTGACCAGCACTACCCTCCACCCTCCTTCCCCTCAGGGCAGCGGCCTCCCCGGTAGCAGGCTTTGCCCTGCCCTGTCTTGCCAGCCCCCTTTCCTTCAGGCTGGCCAGATCCCATGCCCAGGATTTAGAAGTACAAGTGCAAACAAACCCCAAACTGGACTCACTGTCAATTATCTGCATGAGTGGAGGGCTAATCCAATATTCATTTCTACTTGGCTTTGCAAGGCCTTGTGTCATTTGTACAGGACAGATTTACCTGGCGGTTTCCACTTTGCTTGGGTGAATGTCATTAGCATTTTCAATATGCCCACAGATTGCTGGTGAGGATAGCACCTTAGTAACATTCTGGAATCTGACAAAGGTAATCCACCTATAACATCACTGAGCTGGCTGTGCTTGTGGTCATTTCTCCTGGTTTATTCTCATCCACTCTAAGTATCTGGGTCTCATACAGTATCTTGACTCATTTCTATTCTTTGACGGTAAGGGAAGTAATTTATGAATGGGCTCATTCATTCAACAGTCAGTAAATATCTACTATGTGTTGTCATCATGTCAGGGTACAACTGTTTGGGTGGTGCAAACAGTTAAGCTCTCAGCTACTAACTGAAAGGTTGGTGGTTCAAACCCACCCATGGCCTGGCCATCTACTCTGAAAACTCACAGCCATTGAAGACCCTATGGAGCATGGTTCTACTCTGAAACACATGGAGTCGCCATGAGTTAGAACCAACTCAATGGCAACTGGGTTGGCTTCTTTGGTAGGCACTGTATTAGGGGCTGAGGAAGCAACTCTGAAGCCATCATGGAGCTGATGGAGCTTACACACGGGTGAGAAAGGCAGTCAAGTCCACAGACATAAGTGTGATAAGGGGTGTGATGGGAGAGGAACAGGTGAATCAGAGCACCTGGTAGTGATAGTGACACCTAACAGGGATTTCTTGGGGGGACAGGAGGGACTTTTAAGAAGAGGAGACATCTCATCCCAAACCTGAGAAAGCGCAGGAATTGTTCCAGGAATTAGAGGGCAGGGAATGTTGCAGGCAGCGGAGCACCTTGTGCTAAGAACCAGCAGAGGCTCGTGCCTGGATAGTGGGCTTTCTTTTGCTGTCATTACTCTGTGTCTTTGGGCTGGTCCTGTGCCGTCTTCACAATCGCTGGTATGTTTGAGTCTGTTGTTGTGGCTGTTGCGTCAACTCATTCCATGGAGGGTTCCCCTCGTTTTCACTGACCCTCTACTTCACCAACCAGGATGTCCTTTTCTGGCTGTTGGTCTTTCCCGATAACTTGTTCAAAGTAACTGAGCTGAAGTCTCACCATCCTTGCTTCTAAGGAGCATTCTGGCTGTACGTCTTCTAAAGCTCATTTGTTTGTTCTTCTGGCAGACCATGGTACATTCAGTATTCTTTGCCAACACAATTCAAATGCATCAATTCTTGCTGTCTTCCTTTTTCATTGCCTGTATATGTGCATATGAGGGACTGAGGATCTGTAAGGCGTTCAGTGTGGCTGGAGCACAGAGCGCAGGGGCTGGAGGGCAGAGGGATGAGGCTGGAGATGTGAGGGGTGGGGGCTGGGAAGTGGGTGTGGGGAAGCTCATGAAGGCTCTTGCAGAAATGGAGAGGACCTTGGGCTTTATTCCAGCCTCTCTGGCTGCTAACCCTGAGGGAGGCTGTCTTCGGATGTCCTGGGCTGGCTAGGAATCTGATGCCTCTTCAAGGGGCTATTTAAAAAACAAAACAAAACAAAAAACTATTAGTTTAACATTTATTTTAGAAGATAAGAAGAAACTGATTTTCTATTCACAAAAATGGTATACCTCTTTCTTTCTGTTCAAAATAAGGAGTTAATTTTTCCCCCTGAGTAATTTAACATATTTAGATTATGTTCTTCCGCCATTTATACCTCAGAAATGTTAATTACACACAGGAGTAACTTACACAGATGTGCTTACACAATCTTGTTAAAAATATTTTTTAAATTTCTTGTTTTTCTAGATTTCATGTGGATAAAAGTGCTCTCACGTTTCTGAATTCTTTTCCTTTCTTTAGTAATTTTTTTTGTGTGTTTGTGTGACTTTCTGAATGAAACAATTTCTTGGGAAGCATATTAAAAGACTTCAGATTTAGACAAAACAGGCCAGTTTGCTAATCAGAACTGCTCCATAAATAACTCAGCTTCAAAGTTGCAGCTGACAACAATGATGGCTTCAGATGCATGTCACCTGGCTGCTCTCAGGTGGGCGGTGTGGCTTAGACTGGAGCTAAACAATCACATTTTGCCACTAAAAATACTCAGGAGAGCTAGGTCAGCTGATATGGCCACCATCTACTCGGGCAGAACTGGGGCCATGTACATTTTGTCAATTATGTAACCGAGTTAATTGATACAGTGTATCAGATCTCTGGGAGTGATGATTCAATGTGTCTCATAAGCTGGTGCCCCGGAGCTTCCGGGCCATCCAACCTCGTGATCTGACTCTGACTCCAGCGTGGACAGAGTTTGAGGGGATCAGGAAGGAGGCAGAGGTAGAAAGCATTGGTGATCAGGAGGAGGGATTGTGGTGCTCACAACCAGGAAATTCATAGTGGGGATAGAGAGAAACAGATCCATTTAAGAGGACATTCAAAAGTGGACTGGACAGAACTTGGTGACTGAATTTGTAGAATGAGGGAAACACTCTATGAATGTTTCTACAAATTAAGGACAGTGCGTGGATTACCTGTTTGGGCAGCGGAGTGGATGGTGATGTTAGCTACCAAGATGGCAGACAAAGTAAGGGCAGATTTAGAGGGAAAGATACTGTGTTCAGCCTGGACATACGGGATATGAGGTACCTGTGGCCTATCCGAATTTTAATGTCAAATTAACAATTGACTGAATAGGACTCTAGCTTAGGAGCTTTATCCAAGTTAGAAAAATAAAATTTGGGTGTCATTCACATATAGCAGGAGAGGCAAGTCTTGGAATTAGAAAGATCACTCAGAGAGCTTGCAGAGGAAGTGGAGGGATGGGTGGACTCAGGACAGAGCCTTGAGAAAAACCAGTTTTTAAGCAGCAGGCCAGGGAACAAAAACTGTAACAGGGCTTAAGAAGACAGTAAGGAAGATTATCCAATTCTAAGAAGCAATTTTGAATCTTTGCCTCATGTGTCTTTTAAAATTTTATTTACTTCTTAATTTATTCATTTATCTTTACCATAAAGTATGGCAGACATTCAAAAACGTATAGTCTAGACGAACACAGCAAACACCCCTGGGTCCCCTGCTGCTTCAGCACAGCTGAAGGCCCTCCGTGTACCCCTTCCTGATCACCCTCCCCAACTCTCCCCTCAGTGGTAACCTGAATTAGATCCCACGGTTCTCGTGTTTGGCTGTCGGCTTTTATAACACTTCAGAGGTCATCATCTGAAAGGAAACACCCTCTTCCATTACTACTGGGAAACAATCCTCATATTCTGGAGAAACCAGCATCTACAAATTGCCTTTCAGAGAAATTACAGGTGTGCTTGTATTTATTGAACACCACTCACGTTTGGGTTGATGCCTCTCAGCTCCGAATCCACCCTTTTCCACCCCGCTTTGTGGCACTGGAGCTCGATGCCCAAACGCTTCTCCTTTGCAGCTGGTGCGGTATTAGCCTTGCCAGCAGAGGGCGCTGTAGGTCAGTGCAGGAGGAGGAGCCTCTCCTGGCTTCTGTGTGCTCCTTCTTTCTTGTTCCAGCCCTGTGGCCGGCGGCTTGTGGACTGCCCAGTGGTGCGCACCCTCCAGCATGTTTCCCGGGCACTGCAGTGGGTGGCTTCCCAGGGAGTCTTGCCGGTGACCTCCCCCCGTCCCCCATCCCCAGAAGAGAGTTTCCAGCCTTCCAGCTCCAGCACGCAGCAACCCAGTGGACTTCTCCACCATCCAGTGGGCGCGGCCACACCCTCCGCAGCGAGGTCTGGCCCGCAGCCCCGGGGTCGGTTTCCTGCCGTAGGTGCTCTGCCTCTGCCTTGGAGGTAAGGGCTGCTCCCTACACCTGCTCCCTACATCTGCAGTTCCTTTATTCCTCAGAGTGTTCTTTACCCCTTGGAAGTTAATCCACTATCATTAGTTAATAATTCTTTCTATTAAACTTTCCTTGTTTAAACTGCTGTAGAGTTTCGGTTTTCTGATTACTGTTGTTGAGTGACATTGAGTCAATTCTGACTCATAGTGACCCCATGTGACAGAGTAGAGCTGCCCCACAGAATTTTCTTTTTTTACTGTGCTTTAGATGAAGGTTTACAGAACAAACTAGTTTCTCATTAAACAGTACGCATATTGTTTTATGACATTGGTTAACGACACCACAGCATGTCAACACTCTCCCTTCTCGACCTTGGGCTTCCCATTACCAGCTTTCCTGTCCCCTCCTGCCTTCTTGTCCTTGTCCCTGGGCTGTTGTGCCCCATTAGTCTTGTTTTGTTTTATGGGCCTGTCTAATCTTTGGCTGAAGGGTGAACCTCGGGAGTGACTTCATTACTGAGCTAAAAGGGTGTCCGGGGACCATACCCTTGGGGTTTCTTCAGTCTCCTCACAGAGTTTTCTTGGCTGTAATCTTTACGGGAGCAGATCTCCAGGTCTTTCTCCTGCAGAGTGGCTGGTGGGTTTGAACTATCAGCCTTTTGGTTAGTAGCTGAGCGCTTAACCGTTGCACCACCAAGGCTCCTCGTCTCCTAGCTTGACCTGGACTAATACAGTAAACAATAGAAAGAACACTGCATTCGTAGCCACAGAATCTGACGTCCTGATTTTACTTAGTGGTGAGACATCAGAAAAGTCTTTTCACCTTTCTGAACCTTAAATTCCTCATTTATAGGAATACTTCTCTGCAGGATCAGTCCAAGAGTCAAACTCAATAATGGACGTGGCTTAGGAAAGGATAGGGTTTTCTATGCCAATACAAATGGATAGAGAACACAAATTAAGTCCCAGTCCAAGCAGGGTTACACTGAAAGTGTAGGGGAGAATAGAAAAGATTAAGGAGAAAAGTTTGGGCGAACAACGATCTGAGAGGTATTTGTGACCTCATGTCACCCCAACCTCCTCTCTGTTCCTTCTGCTCAGTGGAATGAAAAGATGCAAAAATCTGAGAACAAGGAGGTTGACAAAACAAACTAAGTCCTTCCTTTAATGATCTCATAAGTCTAGACAAAATATGGCTTTATACTGGGCTATTCATAGCTGAGTGACTTAGGGGGCTTGGTGCCAAGGAAATCTAAGAGCTGAGGATAAACCAACAACAGGGATTTTTGACTAAATTAAAATTCAGGGTGAACTGATAAAAATTGCATTAAGGATCCGAGAGAAAGACAATGAACTGTACATTAGGAATATTTAATTTTTTTTTGCTTTAAAATAATTATTTTTTGGGTAGTTTTATAATTATGTTACAATATCAAATTGTATTGTTTTATTAACAAAGGAAACACCTACACCTTGTTGCTCAGAATGTGTCTTTGTGGCATGACATCTAGTGGCTGAATACCTAAATTGCAGGCTTAGTTTTTTTGGGGAAAAAGATTAGAATGTACCTTGAGAGAGGCTACAGGCTATAGTTATGGTAACCATAGAGCTTAGATTTTTCTGACAAAGTCCTTTTTCTTCTTTTGAAGTTTTATTCTGTTCAATTAGCACAATTTGTTAAATTCACAACAAAATGTAATTTTATTTCATACCTGTTAAGTACAAACCCAATTTCGACTCATAGCGACCCTATAGGATAGATTAGAACTGCTCCATAGGGTTTCCAAGGAGTGGCTGGTGGATTTGAACTGTCAGTCCTTTGGTTAGCAGCCAAACTCTTAACCACTGTGCCACCAGGGTTCTTGTTAAGGATAGTCGTATAAATAAAATTTTGATGTCTTCTGACTTTTTTATTCATAAAGTATGGTCTTTGTAAATGGGTATGGCAGAAGGATTCTGACGTGGAGATCTGGCTTTAGTCCCAGCTTTACCACCATTTAGTTGGACAGCCATCTATGGTCTCTTCCCCTCCTTGGTTCTTAATTTACTTGTCAGTAAAACAAGAGAAGCTGACTTGTTCAATAACTTTCTAACTTCTTTGACTGTGACCCATAGTGGAAATTACTTTTCCATCACACGACATCATTTCTCTCTCTCTCTCACAAACACACACCCACACACACAACTGAAATAAATTTCCATGAAACAATTCTTAGCCTTACTATATGCAATGCACTTGATTCCATTCCGTACTATTCTATTCACAACAACAATAAGAAGAACCACTGAGTTTAAAATTTAGCTGCTAAATTTTACCACTTACTAATGGAAAAAGGGCCTGGTGATCTACTTCTGAGAATTAGCCAACAAAAACCCCTTGGATCACAGAATATTGTCTGAGACTTCATGTGACTTACTTTGGATGTGTCATCAGGAGGGACTGATTGCTTGAGAAAGACATCATGCTTGGTAAAGTGGAGGGCCAATAAGGGAAACCCTCAGTGAGATGAATTGACACAATGGTCACATCAGTGGTCTCAGACATACCAATGATCACGAAAATGACACAAGACTGGGCAACGCTTTGTTCTGTAATACATGGGGTTGCCATGAGTTGGAGTCAACTCAATGGCAATTAACAGCAGCAATAGGCCAAAGTCCAAAAGTCACTAAACAAAACAATCTCTAACATACAGTCTACGTGTCTATGAGATGATTTGCTACTTGATGACCATCTTCTCACAACTGGTCCCTCACACTGCTCCCACCTGCTTCAGTCCCACCGAGCATCTGCCATCATCAAATCCACAGCCAATAAGAACCAACTGAATACATAGTAGTCATCCCATTCCTGCTAGTAGATGGGCTTGGAATTAGTTTTGTGCTTATAGCTTGGCGTGTAGAGTGCCTCCCCCACAGCGTGCCTTCTCTTTGGGCTTCTGTCTTGGTCTCCATTGGGTCTAGAGGCCTGAGTCCCTGTTGGCTTGTGGAGGTTGGTCCCTGTGTCCTGTGTACCAGCTCTTGGCTGTGGTCCCGCTTCACTCTAGATAAACCTCCCAGGAAGCATAATGAAGCCACCTGTTTGGCAACTGGATGCATTTGATTCCAGTGTGTGTGCTTTTCATGTCTTAGTTCACCGCCTTTCTTTGGGCATTTTGGTTCTGATTGCTGGGCTCCCCAGCTAGGCCTACTGTTCTGGCCGACTCCCTTTCCCACCTGCCACATGAAGTTCCCAGTAGGCCTCATGGTCTGGCTGTGGGGGCTGGGGCGGGCTAAACCTATGAATTTATGCTTTTTTGATTTACAGACAGGCAGTGGGCAATGGCTAATTTAACTTTCTTTGCCTACTAAACATCTCTGTGAAGCAGTCACTATTCCAAAAACACCCACTTAAGCATAGAACAATAACAGTGTAGCTAAGGGCCATGCGTGATTCTGATTTTAAGGTAACCTCCCTTTATAACACAGCAACTCACCTTCCCGTATCCATCTCCCTGTCATCCCACAGTTTACCTATTTTATAAGAATGGAATTGTTGTATAGTTTCTTAAAATGGGTTTGAATCTCTTTTTAATCCAAGGAAGTTAGTCAGTATATTTTTTGGGCTTCATCTCTAGCTCTTCTAAGGATAGAAAATGTTTCAAAATATCCCAAGGGGAATTTGGGCTAGAACTCAGGCAGAACTTCCTGACAGACGCAAGTTATGGAATATTTTCTTTAAAATAATAGTAATGTTTTCCTTGTGCCTTCGGTTTTCTTCATTCTCCTTTGCTCCGGCCCAGGGATGGGACCAATAGGTGTATCTTAGATGGCAGCTCACAGAAAAATGTAGAACAAAATTCAAATTCATGGAAAAAGGCTAGACTTACCGGTCTGACAGAGACTGGAGGAACCCCTGAGACTACGGCCCCCAGACACCCTGCTAACTCAGAACTGAAGCCATTCCCGAAGCCTACTTCTCCAAGATTAGACAGGCCTAGAAAACAAACAACAACACATGTGAGGAACATGCTTCCTAGTTCAGTCAAATATACGAGACCAAGTGGGCAGCTCCTGCCTAAAAGCAGGACAAGAAGGCAGGAAAGGACAGGAACTGGACGAAGGGACACAGGGAGCCCGGGGTAGAAAGGGGAGTGTGCTGTCACACTGTGGGGATTGCAACCAATGTCACAAAACAATATGTGTATAAATCTTTGAAAGAGAAACTAACTTGAGCTGTAAACTTTCACCTAAAGCAGAATAAGAAAAAATGGAAAAAAATAGTAAAAAGTAAATCCAAGAAGAAATAATAGTAATAATGTTAAAAAAAAAAAAAAGGGGGGGAGGAGGCCCTCCTACATCTTTGAGGGCTGGCGGGGAGAGTTGGTGACTTCTCAAGGTCTGATCCAGCCCAAAGGTTCTTTGATGCAATTGCTCCGTCCTTCCCAGCTGTCTGTTTCTGATCCAAGGCTGCGCCTGGGGGAGCCCCGAGCCTCGAGTGAGAAACTCCCAGCTCCACGCCGCCCTCAGCAGCCCAGGACCTCGGCCAGCTGGCTGACCTGGGCTCTCTGGGGATTCCAAAGCACGAATGGTTCCTCTGATTTGCTTTGACCATTTGGCTTCCAGGAAAGACCCAGCAGCACGTGACGCTGATGAACCCTCCAGGGACCTTCTGCCGCCATTAGTTAACTCATTAGGGGCTTCCCAGGCACCCCTTCGCACTGAGTGGAGAGACTGCCTGCCTTTCACCTGTCCTTTTTGCACATCACTGGTTATGCATCGCTGGCTGGACCACTCAGCTCTGCACTCATCCACCTTGTCTGAGTTCAGCCTCCTTCCTGATTCCCTACATTTGGTTACGCTACATAGGAGCCTGTTTAATCCCTCTTTGAGTGCAAAGTGAACAAAAAAGTGGTGTACTCTAGATATAGTAGGAAAAAATGATTTGGGAACAGAATGATTTTAATTTGGTATCTGTGTGTCTACTGCAAGTAAGAGTTGAATCA